CTGCCCGTTTGTTGATAGCTCAAAACTGGAAGAGTAAAGTTTTACCTACAATGGAGGACTGGAGATTGAAGGTTTCGCATCTTGCTGAAATGGCAAAAATTTCGGCTTATCTGAAGGATCATTCAAATGAACAATTTTTATCAATATGGAGAAGATGGATTGTTTATATTCAAAATAAGCATAGAATGGTGGAATATAACTTAGGTTTTTAGATTAAAAACTTTTTTTTATATATATATATATTTCACCTACTTATGTAGAATAATACTTTGTGGAGTTAGGGATATTAATACTAGTTTACTTTTAGTTGAATAGTATCCTGGGATTAGGTTTGGGAAGTCCGGGTGGGGGGTGGGGGGTAGGGGTTTTTACATTGTGATGTATCTGTGATGTGCTTTTTCTTATGATGAAAATAATAAAAAAATTATATTTGAAAAAAAAAAGAAGTCAGCCTAGGAACTGCACGTCCTAGTACTTTTGTGGTTAGATTTTTCTATATATGAATTTGTTTGTTTGAGGATAGGATTTAGCTTGCTTTCTGAGAGCTGAATCTGGAGCGTTCATTTCTTGTATAATCATCGGTATTCGATTATCCTAAATTCTCATTTTTTAAAAAAAACAACCCTCTGATATCAAAGAACAATATCAATATCAGCTCAATAATTTGGGTGAATTTCTGCTGATTAGATCATGTGGTGATGCTTGCTGGCCCAGCAACCCCACTGTCACATGATCATAATCTGCGTGCTTGACAACTGGATCACACTTATGACGGTTGCAGCATCCTGTGGTCATATGATGGCCATTTCCGACCATCACTGTTGGTTTCCCACAAGTAACATCAATGGGGAAACCAGCAGAGAAGGTCACGAGTCACCCTGGTACCTTGCTCACCCCCTTCGGGCAACAGCCACCTCCAGCATACTTGCTCTGTGCCTCCTGAGCCACCCACACACCCTTCTCTGCCCAGCAACAGCCCCCCCCACTCAACTTTATGCCATGTATTGCCTGCCTGCTGGCCTGCTTGCAACTTGCTTAGTGTCCCACAATCCTTGCTTAATAATGGCAATGGAAATGCTGGCATTGCTGATGCTAAGGGATGCAGTCGTGGGACATCATATTTTATGACCATATCTCTTAGTGATGGAAATTCTGGTCCCAATTACCATTATTAACCAAGGACCCCATAAGAGATTGCTTAAGGGTTGCATACTTGGAAGCTGGAAACAGCTCAGTGGTTGTTAAACACATCTTTAAAAAGTTTCTAAGAATTTGGAGCAGGAAAAAAAAAGAAAAACACATTGCTTTGTAAACACAAAAAAATGCTCTGGTGGGTGGTTTATTTATCTATTAAGGGGTAATATGAATCATATTAAATATTAGTATTTTTCATTGTCTAATTCATGATAAAGTTACTTGCAGTAGGTGTCATCTTTTAATATTCTATCAATAATAAACTTAGAGATAAAGACTATTTGGTTCACTAGAAAAACTGCAGAAACCTAACTCATATACAGGTATGAGGGAAAAATGAGTATTTCTAATTCCAAATTATGGGTTGGCCATGATATCCAATCTAAAACCATTCAGGTTCCTTAGACTTACTTGCTGAGTGGAGCAGTCACTCAGCAAGCTTTGTACCTATCTGCAAAGGATTTTGCAGATAATGGCACGGAAAGGGCTCGGATGTAATTATGCTACTCCTGTGAATTAACTCCTAAGGCTTATGTTGACTTCATTATCTGAAAAGTATTCAATATTCTATATATTTCCCAGTCACTGTGTGGCATTTATAGTTCTTTTCCCTGACTTTTCACAGTGCCTGAAACAGTATGTGGAGCTCTTGATCAAGGAAGGCCTTGAAACAGCAATTAGCTGTCCTGATGCTGCTTGCCCAAAGCGAGGTCATTTACAAGAAAATGAAGTACGTTCCCTCTACATCTTTATCTTACCTTACAGTCACGCTCACTTCTAATTATAAATCATGATTTTTTTATTATGTTCCTTTTTGTCCGATAACCTTTTGATTACAATCTAATTATATTAAATGCGCTCTCTCTTTCCCCCTCTCTCTCCTCTCAACAGATTGAGTGCATGGTTGCATCGGAGATCATGCAGAGATATAAAAAACTACAATTTGAAAGAGGTATCGTATGTGACTACAATCTAGAATCCATATTTCACCCCAACTATGGAAATAATTTGGTTCCATTTTTTTTTTAAAAAAAGAATCAGTTTCTTTTATTCTGCTTTGTTCAGTGTTTTCTGGAATAGCCCCATAAATAAAGGGGAGTGTTTTGAGGTGATTTTTATTTTATTTTTTATTAGATTTATATCCATAATACTCCTACCTCCTATTTTCTCCACAATAAACACCCTGAGAGCGACTGGCCCAAAGCTATCCAGGCATCTTAAATGGTTAAGGCAGACTACAAATCACAATGTCCTGATTTTTGTATGCCTTAACCACTTAACCACTACACCAAACTCACCTATACTTCATGCCCATACAAAATTTGGTTGGCTCTAATTATTTGGTTGGGATAAAAAAAAAAATGTTAAAGTCACCCCACAGTCATGGCAAATAAGACCTATATAAGGGATCGTTATATTGTCTTTGGTGTTGTATTGTAAAAGTTGAGATTTTAGACTAGGTTCAAGCAATATTTTCATGGCTACAAGGAGAGAAGTGTTGCACAGAGATTTTCAATTCTTCTTCTTCTCACCAAACACTCCTGGGGATAAAGTGATTCAGCAGTTTGCTTTTCCTTTGTGGGGGTGGTGTGGGAAAGGATTTTTACTATATGTAACATTATTTTATTAATGGGAAAGCAAATTCTGTGGAGTTTAGATACTTCTCCCAAGAAACTACTGTGCATGGGGTGTTGTAGAACATTGTGGGGAGGGAACAGAGGCAAGAATGGCTCATGTTTTCTTTGCTTTCCCATTGTGTTTGAAAACAAAATGTTTGCTTTGTTCCCTGTACATTCTATAATAGTGAAAGCTTTAGAATGCAGCATTATCAGACACTGGACATTCCTCATTGTGTTCCACAACTTAAGATCAATTCCAAGTCTTCATCTTTGACATTGGAATATAAGCAACTGCCTGATACCACATTATGGATACCTAATCTATTACGCCAGCCTCCAAATGAATTAAATGTATTAATTCTGCTGTTAAACTACAGCTTTTCCCAACCGTGCCTTATTTCCCTAATAGAAGTGCTTTTGGATCCTTGTCGGACTTGGTGCCCATCGTCTTCCTGCCAAGCAGTTTGTCAGCTTCAGGAATCAGGACCTCAGAGCCCCCAGTTGGTGCAATGCAAAGTCTGTGACATAGAGTTTTGCTCAGCGTGCAAATCTAACTGGCATCCGGGACAAGGATGTCAAGAAAATATGCCAGTCAGCTTCCTCCCAGGGGAAACAAGGTACAAAGCTATTGAGCGAAGTGCATGTGTGTGCCTAACATATTACTAGCAGCTTTTTCACTCAGCTTTCACCAGGTTGGTTTCTGTTGTCTCAGCTGGCATAATTTTAGTTGACTGGATTTTTTTTTTTAACCTTAGTATCAATAGCAACCACAGCAGTGGACCATGGGGCTCAGAGTGATGCAAGCAATATCATGATGTTGCAATGCAAACCCTCCCTCCTTCTATAGGCAATGTGACATTATAAGCATGCTCCAACCCCCCCCCCCNCCCCCCCCCCCGTGTTACTTCTTTTGTCATTCCAACAAAAACAATGAATGCCTGTAAATGTTGCTTTTTAGCATTATCCGATTAGACCAGTGGTTCTCAACCTGTGGGTCGGGACCCCATTTGGGGTTGATCGACCATTTCACAGGGGTCGCCAAGCAAGGCTGTCCGCCATTTTTTTGTCCGCCATTTTTCCCCCCTTTTCCGGCGGGTGCCTTACCTCCCTTGGGCTGGGCCAGCTGGTGGTCGGCCTGCTCCGTCTCTGCCGCTTGCCAGCTACGCCTTGGCCGGCGCAGGGGGCGGAACCACGCATGCGCGGCACTCCCGGGCAGGGAAAGTCCTCGACTTATGACCGGTTTAGTCCTCGACTTACGACCAGTTTAGTCCTCGACTTACGACCAGTTTAGTCCTCGACTTACGACCGGTTGGGATCGCGGCATTAAAAAGGTTGAGAACCACTGGATTAGACTGAATAACAAAACCAAAGGATGGTCTTGGAATCTATTTTTGAACATGATTGCATCACATATCTTCCTTTTCATGACCCTGTGTGGGGTAGAATTAAGATAGAGCTGAGCGTTTACTGGCCGGATGCCCTCCTTGATGTTTACACGGAGTTTGCAGCAAATATTTTGGTGGGTTTTTTTGCGCCCTGATAGAGAAACATCTGCTGCTACCTAGGACTGAACTCTCAACCTTCTGAGTGGGAGGCGGGCATCTTCACCATTGGGCCACACGGAAGTAATTTCAGTTTGAAAGTGACACATACCGGAAGCGTATTTGTTCCATAATATTATCAACCTGTTTCTTCCCAGCTCTGTTTATAAAATGGAAGAAGATGATGCTCCAATCAAGCGCTGCCCCAAATGCAAAGTTTATATTGAAAGGGATGAAGGCTGTGCCCAAATGATGTGTAAAAATTGTAAACATGCCTTCTGCTGGTATTGTCTGGAATCACTTGATGTAAGTTTTCATTTTAAGATGAGCATATTACCGTTCATTAAAGCTACTGCTGTCATGGGTCCCAAAGGCCTAAAAAAGAGAGACCTTTTAAATGCCATCTTATAGGATATTCCTAAAATTATAAAAATGAATAGGCCAACACTGATAAGTTAACCTTTGTCCTAGGGAGACCACTGTGCCTCAGATAGACGGCGTGGAGTCCCTCCTTGTGAAGTGGGGGCAAGGGGTGCAAGTGGGCTTGTTGATTATATACCTGGCTCCCTGCTATGTATCAACGGCCCTGCCTGAGCTGGCTGACGTGATAGCCGGGGTGGCGGTTGGGACCCCCAGACTTATGGTCTTGGGGGATTTC